CAACTTCACTTTGGAACTTCAATGGGGCTCTAAAATACTTAAAAATCTGTCAGAACATTTTGAAATTCAACATGGATCCTTCAAAGTAGCGGACTTCCCAATTTAGAAATTACTGAAAAACTTCTAGAATGCTCCAAAACTCTTCAAGCCAAGTTAGAACACTTTAGACAAACCTCAGAATTATTTCAGAGAGCCTAACGCCTGGACTAGATAAAGACTGAAAGTTATAAAATTAGTAATAAATAATAGGGAAATATTAACAAGAAAATGTTCTTCTTTCAATTAAAATTCTTGAATTTTTATAATTTCTCCTATTCTAGGCTTCCTAATTTTTCCTTGCTTTTTTATTCTAAATTCTTAATTTTCTTTTGACTGTTGAATTTTTTTTTCCAAGTTCTTGAATTTTCATTATTCCTGTATTTTAGAATTTCAGGCTCTTGATTTGTTTTTTAATTTTCAGTCCTATCTCTTCAAATGATTTTCTTCCAAAATCAATTTTTCGTATGTTTTCGTTTAAAGAAATCAAGAATTTAAGGCCCTAACGTTTGGAATAGACAAAAATTGAAAGTTATAAAATGAGTAATAATAATAAAATATTAGTCCTGAAGACGTCTTTAGGCAGACGTCTGAAAGACGTTGGGTTTTGTAACATATGACGTATTTAGGATGTCTTTAAGAGTTTTAAGACGCTTTGAAGACGTAAGCAGACGTCTAAAAGACGTCTTGAATGTCGTTTGTGGACATCTTAGGGACATCTTTAAGATGTCTGTGTACTGTCTGGATAGACACTATGCGTTAAGGTTTATGAAAAAATCACTAAATCTTGGAAGATTTAATCTTCCCAGCAGTGGAAGAGGAAGACTGGAAACTTGAAACCATGCTTTTAACCTTTGACACCAAACTTTTCGGTAATTGCTAATGTTTTTTTTTATTTCAATATTATCAAGTATCTTTAATCCTCTACTAAAGGGCATTTTTAAGTTTTATTAGAAAAATGCATACATTTCGCGATTTTACCTGAAGTTCAAAAATTTCCAGATTTTTAAATAAATTAAATTCCAATAACTTTTTTGTTTTCCAGCTTATAAGTAACTTTTTATTCTCCACAAAAAAGTTCTCTTGAGTTTTTTTGTTATAATGCATACTTTACGAAATATTCAATAAATTCGAAAAAAATCAAGATGGCGGCCATTTTTTTCCAAGTTCCACCAATGCGACAAAGTGCGATTTTTGAGGGATTAATTAGGACCGTATTGACTACTGATTTCCGCAGAGAACCTTTTGTTACTAATTTTTTCTACCTCGCCTGCATAAACCTGCCTAGATTGACTATACTACTATTACCAAAGATGCAGAGGGGAAAAAACAAATTCTTTGAAATCATTGCTAATGTCGATTTTGGCTTCATTGATAATCCATCATCCTCCCTAGAGTCGAATTTTGAGACCCTCATCACCCTCATGCAGTTGCTCGAGTCCGCTTTCAATGATTCGTTCTTACAAAAAATATGTAGAGTTAGCACAGCATACAAATAATTTTGACTGGTTTAGCCATGATTTAAAAAACATGCGTGAACATTTGCAGTATCTGAATGATCTTTACAAACATTTCCCGAATAACCAACTCAAAGATTATGTTCCAAATTTCCGGAATGATTATAGAAAGCCAATAAAAACTGCAAAAATCAAATGTAGTGATCCGAAAATTCAAAACGCATCAAACCCAAGCAAGTGCATCTGGGAGATCATTACCTATCGATTTTCGGGGTAAGCCTTCTAAGACAAATAGGTACAGACAACACCAACATCAATGCACAGGACTTTAATAACTACTTTGTTAGTATAGCAATAGATCTGCAAAAACAAATTTCCTTCGAAGATATAAATCCTATAGATAACTTACAAAACCTACAAATTGGCGGACGTGAATTCTCTTTCAAGGAGGTCTCTTTCAATGATGTCAGAACGGTGATTGTCGGCCAAAAAAACAAGACTAGCATAGACATCTATAATCTAAATATCAACTTGATAAAGGGTGTCAAGAATTTGTTGCTTATACCGTTGACAAAGTTGATCAACATGTGTATTAAACAAAATACATTCCCAAACTAGGTACCTAAAAATTGTCAGAGTCGCAACTATATATAAAAAAGGGAAAGCTAACGATCCTAGGAACTACAAACACATACCTCTTTTACCCTCTTATATCAAAAATTTTTGAAAAATGTCTTAAAGTTCAGACGCAAAACATATGGAAAATGACGAAGGATTCTTAAATACAAATCACTTTGGTTTTAGAGAGGGAAGCAATGCAAATTTGACAGTTTTGAAGCAGGTTGAAAATATCATGGAGGGTTTTGAGAGCTCTGCTCAGTATTTAGTTTCTATTTTCTGTGACCTGAGCAAGGCTTTCGACTGTGTTTCTCACGATATTTTACTGGACAAATTACCCTACTATAAATTTTCAAATAACAGCATAAAACTAATAAAGTCGTACTTAACAAATCGCCAACAAACTGTTAATTTTAATAACACAGTATCAGATAAACAGCTATAATCAATGTTGGTGTACCACAGGGATCAATCTTGGGACCAATATTGTTTTTGCTTTACATAAATGATCTCCCCAACATTGCTTTGGATAAAATCTACTACAATTTTGAAGAGGACACGACTGCACAAACCAAACACACTGACCTACAGATTGCCTCTGAAATGTCGGGGGAGGCACAGTCGAGAGCTAGGCAATGGTTCTCAGAAAATAAACTTTTCCTAAACAAAGCCAAGACACGAATCTTCGTTTTTTCACTGAAAAAAACTGAGGCAGTGACGGACAGTGTCAAATTTCTCGGAGTTTCTCTAGATCAGAAATTACTGTGGGAAGTCTACACCGAAATGACATCCAATAAACTAAGCAAAAATGCATTTGTTCTGAGAAGTTTGCCATTGTGTCTTTCTCCTGAAATTCTGAGACAAGCTCACTTTTCTATCTTCCATTCACACTTAAAGAGGGTGTGACCCAAAAATAAAAGTTTTAGTGCAAAAAAAATCTAAGAATAAATATTTAAACCGCATCTTGCTACGATGGTCCGTTTTCGATTTAGGGCGGTTTAAAGTTACAAATAGGTGATTGTGACGTCACACCAAATTATCAGGCACAGTATTAACACGTGTAAAATTTTCCAGAACAAAAGACTATTATCTCCCTAAAGCAAATTGCAACCACTCAAAGTATACGGTACGGTTCACTGACGACTGAACGAACAGAAGACTGCGATTTCGGCGGTTGTGACATCACAAGTTCCTGCATAATTTACCTTCATAAGAAATTTTCTCAGAAACTATTTTGAATATAGGACTGCGGTTTTCACGGTAGTTCTTAGATTTTTTTCTTGATAACTAGGGTCACACCCCCATTAAGTTATGTACTATTGGTTTTGGGTCACTCAAGCAATTCCCGCAGAGTCTTTGCCTTGCAAAGGCGAGCCATAAGAATAATAGCAGGATCGAAATACAGTTGTTGATCTCAAAGTTTTGACTCTCCCAGACTCCCAGGTGAATACATCTTGCAGAACTTGATGTATGTCAGGAACAGTCGTGACAGATGTGTCCGGCATAGTGATGTCCATGATTATGACACAAGAAATAAAAATAGCCTACAAACTATTTACCATCGTTTACATACGTATCAAAATGGCCCTGGATATCATTCTATAAATTTCTTCAATAAAATTCCAGAACCCCTAAAAAATCTGATCAGAATCTAATTTAAGAGGGAAGTTAATTGAAGAATTCAGCAACTCTACACTTGTTTTGGTAGGAAATAAATTGCTATGACTGTGATAAATAAAATAATGTGCTCCAAAATTTTTAATGCCGTCTTAACCAAATGTTTGTTTTATATCTGATGTATTTTAATGTATATTTTAAAGTGTTTGAATTCTGTTAAATGTATTTTAATTGTGTATGATATAATATTTAGGAAAGTATTGATTGTAAATTTTAAGCTATTTTGCGATAAACTGATATGCACTGAAATGTGTAAACAGTAAGTGTAATTGCGCGAAATGAACGATTTCGCGCTATGAAATTAAACGCGAAGAGAAATTTCTTCTGCCTTCCAAGACATCTTCAATGCTGGCAAAAAGGCATGTTTGCTTAGCTATGATTAAACCTAAGGAAATCAGTGATGAAGCTAATTTATCATGTGGTGACGAGAATGCTCAAGAAAATTCTTCCCAAATCATTTCTTCGAATCACTTCTGGTTGATAGTTACAGAAGTCGCAGGAGACCCACTGGAAGGAATCTCATTGTGTTTTTATCCGTTAGATTGCATACCCCACAGTTTATCGGAAGGTGAATAAAATGGCCCTTAAAATCAGAAACCAAGTCAGAGCTCATAGCTATCAGTTCTGTTCCAACATGTCAAAAACCGTCCCAGGAACGGTTTCAAAACCACTCTGTATACGAATTTTGGATGCTACGCAAAAAAATTAGGCTTTTTGCGCAGAATCGTGACGGTACATTGTACGGCGTTTGGCTGTGTTGGAACAAACCTATCATCTGCAGTAATTTTTTTGAATTGAATACATATTATAATTGTTTATGTAATATAATATTAATTATAATCAAAGTATTACAATTGTTTAATATAATATTAAAACAAATAAATCTTCAAATTCTAGAAAAAGAATTCAACTCGCTTTATCATACTCCATCGTGCCTAACAACTCATTTGAAACTTGCTTCAGTACAACCAAACAATTCACTTTTTCATTCTAAAGAGTATGGGAGTATTAAATATAGTCCAGATTTTGGTGTTTTGTTTTAACCATTTCATATTCTATCTAATTGTTTCGTGATTCATTATTTTCATACTAATAATTTCAACCCAAGACCTCAAAATATTTCTACTGATCTCTGAAAAATAACACAAATTTAATCGGAATAGGTAATCGTCCTTACCTATTTGGTAAGGCCACAGGTAGGTGTGCGGAACCAAAAAACTCAATAGATAAAAATTTACAAATATTTTACTTTAAATGTCATGAAACTATTACAATATGGAAAAATGTTATACAGACGAAAAATAGAAATATCACAATAATATAATTAATATATTTTAATCTGTCATATTTGAATGAGGCACTGTGATCACAAATCCTAGTTGCCAACTTATTATCAATAAATATCAAGTACATACTTCAGATTCACCTAGGGACCTGCCTACTCAAACTCAAATTAATTAAGGACGGAATCCGTTAAAATAAAAATAAAAAATATTATAGACATGTTAATTTTAAAAAATATTACCGTTGATATTACCTATAAAATATGTATAATATTTTTTAAATTTAATAAAACCAGTCACATTTTATGTTTCATCATGGATGAGATTCATACCTAATAGAAAATACTAAAACTAATATGCAAATCTCGGCAGTTGTAACCGTGAAGTCTGTCTGAGGTTTAAACAAAACATGAAAAATATTCAGCACAGAGTTGAAATAACCTACATAAACTAAAAATATGGAAAGGACAAAAAATCTCATAGCTATACCAAAATAATAAGCAGACACATATAGTGAGTTAGAGTATATGAAACCTAGATATAACTTAAAATAAGCTTATTGGTAAATTACCTCTTACATCGATAACTTAGAATATAATATTGAAATTGTTCTATGAACTATATTCGAATTACCTTTTTTCAAATAAGTTATCTAGGTATTTATAAAACTTGTAACCTCGACAACTAACTATAAAATATTCAATTTTTTTTGTGCAATTATTTGGGTAATTTTATGGCAAATATCCATCCTTTCATTACCATTAAACATGTAATTAATTTCCCAATTTAAGGTATGTATCCATAAAAAACTTCTCAAATTCCTTTCATAGCGCTGATATGATGAAATATGAGCAATTATTTTCTCACGTTTTCGAGTGAGCAATAGTCAAATTTGAAAGAAAAATTTGGGCTCACTTTTGAAATTTTCTCACGTATTCATATGTAACTTTTAAACGGCTTCAGTAGAATTTTCATTTAAATTCAATTTCAAATCAAACCTAATTAAGCCAATTTTTATCCAAATACAATATTTACAAATTGTGAATGTTGAGGAAGCGAATTATCCAGAAAGGCATATTGTTTGGGCAGTTAGCTCTTTCTGAAGCCAGTTTGTTGTGTTGCCTGCATGCTTAATCTTTGCAGATGAGTTTAAAAAAAAATCTTCAAAAGTTTTGTATTTCATTATGTTTCACTATGGATGAGATTCATACCTAATAGAAAATACTAAAACTTTTTCTGACTATGTACTTGAATTTAAAAATATAATTCAAAAAACATTATGTAATTTATCCAATTTTAATCCTACTTAAAAGGTTTGGGTATTATACCTCAATGGAAATTTTTACCCATCCTAATTATTTCAATAAAATCAAATACTCTTTGCTTCTAGTTTTATCGATAAAATAATATGTTGTCAAAGCTTGGGGGACTTACTTAAAAGAAATACGGTATCCGCCAAAATAAACAGTACCGAAATCTAGAGCTCTGAGTAAATGCGCACGCAAGCTGCATTTATCATGTTTCACTTACTTGGCTTAAGTTATGAGGTTGACATTGAGTTAAGGTTAAAATCTTCGTCATTATGTATCTTTCAACTTAAGAAACAGTTTTCTTGGTAGAACACTATTTCCGGTCATACGGATTTGGAAGGAAAAAAGGCTCAAGTTTGAAACAAGTCTCAGAAAAATTTCAGCAACCACTCTTAATAAATATGATCAATGATTTATAGAATCTTTATGAAGCTTTTTCGCGTTGCTATGATGCATTTTTTGAACATATACGCATGATACAAATTAATAAATGATATAATTTATATGTTCAGTACTGTTTATTTTGGCGGATACTGTATTATACTTTCAAACCTCAAGCTCCGACAATTGTAGCAGTTTTTTGTGCTAAGTTTTTTATGTACCTATTGATAATGTTCATCAACATTCACTAATTGAAATGAGAAACATTCAAAAAATACATGTGAAGCAGCGAAATGGTTGAAAATTGCAAGTCAAAAATGTTTCTTCCACAATTAATAGTTTCCAAAATATTTGACATAGTGATCATAATGCGAGTCATAATGGTTTGTAACAAATCTCATAATTCTCAGAAAAAACAGAAACAAATATAGCAACAATGGACACATACCTTTAAAAGAAACTTACTGCCTGTGAGATATGGTAATTTGGACGCATCACATTTCAGATTTTTTATACATTTTTATCATTCACTCAGTTAAGAAGAAAGTGATTTGGTATACTAATTTGGGACTACAACAAATTAACGAAGAATCCAACTAAAGTGAGCGCCAGTAAATTTTCCAGTCTCGTACTGCTGCTTTTGAAGTATCCAAAGTTAAATTGGATGACTTGGGTTTCAGGGTCTAGGTAAGGATTGCTGCCGTCATCAAAATACATCGGACATTGGTCTCCTAAAATAAATTATACATCAGGAAACCTATTTATATCTAAATTATCCTGATAAATACTCAAAATGTAAAAACGAAGATAGGTACCTCATATGTAGGATTCAATTTAAATTATTTTTTAATTTTGTCTTCAAGCTATTTTTTACCAAAATTTTGCTGAAATTTGCAACTGACTTGAAAACAATAATGCATTTTCTCGATGTTTTTCACTTATGTTTATTGAAAATACCAGTAAAAAAACTTACTTTCTCTTTCATATTCCTCCATATCTATAGCCACAGTGGCACCCTCTGTGTAGTTCCATGAAAATACGTTCTGCTTTAAGTCACAAAATGGGCCAATCGCTAAAAAATAGGTTATTAAGACCACTGCTAAAAAAGTATTCTGTGTAATTAAAAAAAGTATTCTGTGTAATTAAAAAAAGTAATTTGGCAAAATAATCGCCAGTAATAAATTATTATGTCATGGGTATAATAGGAAATGCACTTTTTCAGATGAAACCAACCAATTGTATTATTTGGACTGAAGCCCACCAGGATATGAATTCTGGAACATTCCAGATGAATGAAATACTAAGATCAATCTTATAGTATATTTTTAAATGCTAGGTTTATGAAGTTAATAACAAAGAGAAATTCACACCGAATTCATCCTTCCACAACTATCCCACAAGAAGTTGTATTGCCCTTATACTTTTGAGACCTAAAACAGTACTATGAAAAAAGTCGCCATCTACACCTTCACAAAAATCTACAATGAACAATAAAATCAAATATAAAATATATTACTGAACTTTGGTCACAGAATCCCAAAATAGGTATTGAACAAACTGACAAGTGATATTAAAAAAAGAACCTCGATCCAAATTTTACAAAAAGATGTTTTTTACGAGAAAGACATTTATTTAATACCGTGCATGAATTTCTTGTCATTTGATTATATCATAATTTATCATTGTGTTGCATAATTTAGTGAAATATCATAAATTATTGTGAATTATTTTCACAACTCTACCATTTTTTTTATATTATGGTCCTTGATGTCAATATGATTTCGCATTGTAAATAAAATCGAATAAGAAGAATCTACATACTGTTGAGAAAGCTGACAATAAGATTGCTCAAATACCACACCACCATAGTGCCAATTTTAAATACAAAAACAGGCTGCTGCTATATTTTTCTGATTTATAATATTATGGTTCAATAGAAATTCCAGCTAATTAAAATTTTTGGCGTAAACTCTATAACTCTATCTTACCTTGTGACATCAAAACCCTATTCAAATCTGCTCTCTGATAAACCCAGCAGCGGTATTTTGAGAATGGATCCAGCTCATCATAGGTTATAAGGTAGGATTTAATATTCTCTTTCCAAAATCCTATGCATTTCATCTTATAATCAGGATCACCTAGAAAAAAAAGTATCGAAATACAATTTGTATAATCCTGTAAAGTAAAACCAAATGATGCAGCCCCGAATCCAGCTCATATTACTTACTATAAATATCTACAGGTTTTCCCTTATGATCCACAGACAGACAATAGTTCTCATCAATTGCTACCTCTTTTTGTTCATCGTCACAAACAGAAAAATCTGATATATTCTCTTTGCAATAAACATTTGGCCGAGGGCTTAGTGTGACACCTCCCAAAATCCTGAAATTTTTACAAATGTAAATAAATATGAAAATCTAAATAGAATAACAACAAATTTTGGATTTTAGTCAATGCAAACAAACCACACAAAAAAAAAGAAAACTGTGACCATTCTAGATGGTGCAGGCTTGAGTTTTCAGAAGAGGATCGTGACAATAGACTGAATGAACAAACATTTCAGAGAGAGTTGTGAGAAATTAAATTTTTACTTGACTTTGACATTGAATGTCTAGTGAATTTTTTTAAATTATTACACCTAGATTAGGTGGAATCAAAATTATCCTAAAAAAACTGGAAAACCCTGAATAAATTGAAAAAATTCAGAAACTGAGGATTATGAAAAACTTCACTGTTTTTACATGAACGTATCTGCCATTATTCAATACAAAGGTCATTGGATGGCAGAGCAACATTAAAAAAAAAAGGTCAATAGGATAAAAACAATATTAATACTTACCTAGTTTCAAAAGGAATATCACCTTTTTGGGTGAAATTAAATTTACCAGCAACTGGACATTTTATAGGCACAGGATTTTTCTTTAAAAACAAATCGTAACGCCACTGAACTTTGTTCTGGAATTGCACCCAAGAACAGACTGTACTAAAATCGTCCTTGATCACTGCTATACCCTTTCTGTACCTTATCAAATTGTGATGCTGGGGAACAAAGTCAAAACAAATATAATCCTTTTGACTGAAACATTCAATTTCAAAAAAAAACATTGTCAAATATAGAAAAAAAATAATTACCATCCATCTACAGTTAATCTGGCCAGCATATATCTAGTATCCTTTTGTTCTTTGCATACATAAATTGTTCTTCTATAACGGCCTTCGTCAGGATAATAAGTTTCTATGATATGTGTCTCGTTTATAAAGACATCAGCATCGATATTTGCAGTATTTATCCATTCGCCTGAAGAATCATTTTTTCATTCAGTATTATTTTAATTTGAGTCTAGTTTCAAGACTTGGCTCCCCATAAGATGAAGCGATAAAAATTATACCATAAAATTAATTGAAATTGAAATTATATTATTTTACGATATTGACATCATAAATTATCTACAACAACTACAGACAGAACGGCCTCAAATCATAAACTATGATTTGAAATTTGATTTAAAAATCAAACCCATAAGCATAGTTTGTAATGAGACTGCCAGAGTTTTTAACACTGATACACATAATAGCCTCAGGTATTCTATTTATTCCCTTTATCCCTGGTATTCTTTCATATATTCAGCTTTTGAGGTAGTTTTGTCAAAAAGTTATAACACAAAATGAATTATTATCGTAAATGCTCCTTCAGCAGGATTTGAGCAAGAGCTGCTGGCATTTTTTAAATACTGTTAAAGTTATTTCTCGAGCTATTTTTAAATAATAATGTAGGTAGATACCTGAAAAGTTCTGCGGTAAGCGGCATCCTGGTTCAACTACTTCTGATTTGACTAAAAATGGTACATGAAAAAGATATAAAGTTTTTCTTTAGCACAATTTAGTTGATTTACCTGGTGTTACACGTAATCTTTCAGGACTTTTTTCCACTGTTTTGAGAGTATTACACTGAGCAGTAATTGACACCCCAATATACAAATCGTCGTCTCGATTTTTCAAGAAACATCTGTATTTTTCATCTTTTCTTGATTCTTTGGTATTAGCGACTGCGAAATAGTGATTCTTCCCAACGAACCAATCGCCAAGACAGCTGTATTCAACAACTGTAAAATGCAAAAACAAAGCTTTTGTAAGCCGTTTAAATGATATAAATTACTTACCTCCATCAAAGGTTCCTGTCATTCCTTCACATTTTTTATAGGTAATATTAAACTTCTGATTTGTGATCAGAAACTGGGACCCTGCAGTTTGACACGATCTTATTTGGGCATCGGGATTTCTACATTCTCCTATAAAAATAAAAACATGAAATCAAAAAACTGGAAGCTACTTTACAGACTCGGACACTTTCATTTCATCAAAAAAGTTCCTCCTAAGCATCTAGATTAATTATTTTCACAACCAAAAGTCTTCCATCGTATTACTTCTACTTTGCCTACAGGCACTAAACCTGGGTTGGGTTTCTTTGCTTTCCTAGCCACACTGATAAAATCTGATAGAATGAAACGGGTCTGTGAATGGGAAAGCGAAGAAAACTAAACCAAAATTTTCACATTAATTATTTCAGTTACCCAGGCTGCTTTATTTTTTTTTTGAGTTTTGCACTATTAAAGCATTTATTGGTTCTTTAAAAATGCTGAGCAGCTAAGGGTACGAGGGTTAAGCAAGGCATGTTCCCAAGTTCAGGAACAAACTTGTTCCAGGGCAGGAAATAAATGTTTTATTAGAACTGTGGCTTTGAGGTTAATTCTGAGAAACGAGTTGGTACAAATAGTTAAGAAGAATCAGTCAGATTTGAGAAATTAATTCTCAAATCAAGTATAATAAAACATATCCATGAAGAAAGTTTCTAGCATTCTTCCTATCTAACAATCTATAGTTAAATCTTTTACTGACCTGTGAACTTGAACCTATTCTGATACGCAAAATTCCAAACTCCTTCCAATGATGACCTGCAGTTAACTGGTACATAGTTTTCCGAAAATAAAGTAATCAGCTGTTGATGAGGGTCCAATGACTGACAAACTCTTTCGACCGTTGGTTCAGTATTATCAGGTAAAGTTATACAAGGACCTAAATCAATATGATGTTTTATTAGTTTGCAGTGGCGTATAACAATGAAAGATAAATATATATTGTACGATAAAATAATATATGCACTTACTTTCCATTTTCTCTAATATGTTGACAGTTCTGACTAAAATTTTCACGCAAATAAAACAGTTTTCATTTTGTCTATGCAATACCATTGTGTAGTTGACATGAAAGTTATCCCTTATGTCAACGCAAGTTCCTTTGTCTGTCATTGTTGTAGCATCTAGCTCGGTGAGAGTATTTTTGTTTTCCCATGAAAACCATGCTCCTCTGATGATTGTTGGGATGGTGCAATTCAGGGCCAAACTTTGAGATGCTAAAGAAAAAAAAAATATTGAGGGAAACTCGGAGAGAAATCTTTGACCTCTTTGTCGATTAGAAAATTATAGAAAAGAAAAAGCTGTATTAGGAAACATGCAAATAAAATAAATAAACAATGGGTCAAAATATATTATTATGTATATCTAATCAGAATATCACAAATTTCAATATTTATAGGCAATTTATCAAATTCATCGAGGTCTTTATGTCGAGCTTTATGTTCTAAGGGGCTCAGTATTGAACTGAAAATCTGACTAGTGTTACATCAATCACTTGAAATAATAATATCATCCACAAAGTTCAGTATTTTCAGCATTTGTCGATGATGTGACACCCTTCTGGCACCATAGAGATTCTAACATATTAGGAGAGATTGTGTCGCATGATTTGCAGGAAATTAAATTATGGTGCGATGCAAACTATTTCAGTTTAAATGTTGAAAAAATCAAGATTCTCAGATTTAGGTTTGTTTTTGATGGTTTGCAGCTAAGAAGAAACCATGGTGGGGTACTACTGCCAATACCCAGGCGAGTACCCAGGTACTCCCTGACTCAAAATTCTTTAATTTAGAGGAGCGTCAAGATCTTGGTCAAGATGTACAACAAACTACCATCATTTTTTAGAGACAGAGATTATAAAGATTTTAGGGAGAGTGTTAGGCTTTTGTTGATAGAGAAACAGTAACTTATTATTAGTTGCAGGATTATTTGGGTGACACATTTTGAATAAAATAAAAGGACTGCTGTTTTAACCTAGAAATGCTGTAATGATTGCGGGTCTGATCTTTTTGCAATATGGACTGTTACTTTGGAGCGAGCTTTGGAGTTAACCGAGGAGTTAACTGTAATGCGTAATTGACTAATTAAACTTTAAACTGGTGGACCTTCGAGTGGACCTTGAATAGGTTTTTATCGCTGGCTCTGACTCAGTCAATTTTTGTGTTTTACTTATATACCAATTGATTGGATGTTTATGACATTTTACTATGTAGTTATGGCATGTGTATTCTTTGATTAACCATTGTATTGTTTTTGGAGTTGTTTTATGCAATAAGTACAGAATAAAATACTGAAAATTCTTTTTGATATTGACTTTTTTTACGCACCCAGGACTTATATAGGGGTCTTGGTGTGTACTGGCTAGCTCAATCTTTGAATCTTTTTTGTGTTTTATTTATACCCGCCTGGCAACTAAACATCTTACATGCCACTTTAAATGCGATAGAATGAAATGTTTAGAAAAAGTCTAAGGTTGAATAGAGAACGAAAACGATTTCCCCTGTTCAGCCTCCAGCAAAAAGCGCTGTGAATGTTAGAGGTGGAATAGGGGAAATCGTTTTCGTTCTCTATTCAACCTTAGACTTTCTCTAGACATTTCATTCTGTGGCATTTAAATTGGCATGCAAGATGTTTATTACATTTTACTATGTAGTACTATGGCATGTGTATTCTATGATTTACCATTGTATTGTTTTTCGAGTTGTTTTATTCAATGGGTATACAGAATAAAATACTATTCTTTTTGATATGGACTTTCTTTTACTCACACAGGACTTATATAGGGGTCTCGGTGTGTACCGCCTGCGATTTTACATAGTATACCATGTAAAGAGCATCAAGTCTATAAGCTCCGCCTCCAGGCCTTGTCCAGCTTTGGTTCAGTATTGAAAATGTCTGCAATGCGGTATAGAATGTAGTTAGGATGCGCGCCAAATGCGGTATACTTTGTAGTTAGGTTCTCAGAAACGCCGCATTCGGCAAAATGAAATGAAATAGAGTGAGACAGCACGACAACGCCGAAAGTATTCAGGGATTCAAGAACCCACGATTCGCATACAATTAAAGCAAGATGGGTGAGTAGAGTACGTTCGAGTTTTAATTAAGCAAATTACAACCTGAGGTAGAAATAGAAACTTTTGAATTTAAAAGTTGTCCAGAATATACGGCTGTAATTAGATGCAAATTATGGGGAGTGATTTTGCAGAAGACGTTAAGAGTTTTACGGAAAAGCTTAGTGCGGATATATATAGAAACTGGATTGTTAGCAGAACGTTTCTGAATGTACAAAAATTAGCTTTTCGCAAAATTGCCGTCTGCCCAAGTCCAGCATAACAACTTTAACAAGAATGCACAGAAAAAGGGCAGTTCTGATTTGCGGAACAGGAAAAAGGGATGCAATCGACATCAAAATTTAAAAAATAACTGCCACTATCCAACGTGACTTTATTTGAAAAACAGCATGAATGCGCAGATACAGGTTTGTCCTAGGTCTTAATAGTTTTCCCATATACCCCATTTTGCGCACTTCTGATTACATTCTATACCGCATTACAGACATTTTTAATACTGAACCAAAGCTGTACTGGGCTTGGGGGCAGAGCTTATATACTTGATGCTCTCTACATGGTATACTATGTAAAATCGTGTACCAGCTAGCTCAATCTTTGAATCTGGAGCAGTGTAGGTAAATATCGAGGTAAATATATTCATAAAATATTGAATAAATCATGGAAATGTAACTAATACACAAACTTACTAACAAAGGTTTAAATAATCCCAATTTATAAGCTTCCAGTATTTTTAACAATTTACACTTGAATTTACCAATAAAAAATCATAGCCTCAAAATATTTGTACTTAGTTTAGATCAAGGTTTAGATTAAATACATTATCTGTTCAGCGTTGTCAAAGTTAACCAGCCTTGATTCCAGTGCTTGAAGCACTGTTTAGAGACCGAGTTAGAGACTTTATGTTATAAATACTTTTGTAAACTCATTGCTGAAAAGTTCCTTATAATCCGAGTTTTAATCAGGATCTCACTTTCAATTCCATATTGAAAATATTCGCAATAGAGCCTAAAACTCCTTGGCTTTGTAGTTTGCATTTTGAAAGATTTTAACAACATTTATGCATTAAAACCTCAATTAAAACTTATTTATTGTTCAGTAGTAAGATCCATGATTGAATATACCTACTTGTTCTGTCTGGTCCCCATACTACCAGGTTTATGATATTTATTTTTATGTATTTATTTATTTATTCAGCAGTACAATTTTAACAATATAATAAAATATTTCAAATATCAACAATTTACCCCTTTACTGTATATGTGTGCACAATTGCATCCAAGATGCTGTGCGTGCACCTTTTATCTAACTAAAATATCACTTGAGGTTTTAGTCTTATAATAAATTAATATAATTCAAGTACCTATTCTAAATACAATACATGTATATATTGTGCATAAATAAAAAAATCTTGTTTTTCATTTTGTCTCTACACAACAAAGTTTACACTATAATTAATGGTTTTCAACCATTTTTTAATTTCTTTTTTGCATTTATAATAAGGCTTAGATCTAATCCCAACTGGTAAACTATTGTAAATTTTCGGTCCTACAACATAAATACTGTTCTGACAGCTGTAGAATGCTTTGGGTTCTGCAGGATTACATTATTTTGAGCTGCATTTCTTGTGTTCAGCATGTGCTAATAATTTCTTTAAAGTACTTTGATGTCAACATAAATCTAATGAGTGCCCCTCGGACTGCCTTAATATAAAGTTGATTTAAAGCAAGCAAATCACTCTCAATATTTACAAACTCAGATGGGTATCTTTTGCTTTTGAACATTATTATTTTTATAATCCATTTTTGGCCAACCTCTAGTTTTTTTAAAATAGTTGATCCTGCACTTCCCCAAACCACTATCCCATGGTTTAATATTGATTCAACCAATGCTTGATAAACATATTTCATGGTTTTGAAAGTTAGGATGTTTCTCAATTCATAGAATTTGCAAATTAGCTTTCTGATTTTATTTGTAACATCCTTAACCTGCTCCTTCCATGTAAAATTTTCATCTATGTAGACCCCTAAATAATTTAAATTAGTTTTTCTATCTATTCTATTCAAGATTCTATTAGTACAATTGCAATTATGAGTTATTTCACAATATTGATCATGCAATTTAATTACTTGGAAGTCTGGTAGTGAACGAGGTGAGAGTGAGAAAGTGATGAATTTTGTCTTTCAACATAAGGGAGAGCAGGCTCTGATCTAACTAGTGATGTAAGTCGAGAATATTCCCATGCAAATATTCGCGAACATTGGGAAATTTCCGAGAATATTCGCCGATAAAAAATGGAAACGTTGTCCTGAATGAGAATATTCCCGGAAACTTTCAATCAAAAACTCTCAGAAGAATATTTCCGAGAGCTTTTGAGAGAATATTTCCAAGAACTTTGCAGAAGAATTTTAAAAAATTGCGAGATTATTGCGAATACAAAGTCTCAGTGACGTCATTTCAATTTATGTAGATGATGTAGCCCAGTCCAACTGTCTTTACGGAAATGGTGATCCGATTTACCCGATCACCAGCTGATGTACCTACAGCCTACAGTTTGTCTTTTTTCTTTAAATAATCTTCATTAAAGAAAGAAGCTGGGACATTGGGTTAATCGGATCAGCTTCTCCTTTCAGAATGCGCTTCTCAATGCTGAAAATCGCGAGTGCGACTATGCTGTTTTAATAAAAACAGTTGCATCTAGGAAATTTTAACAGATAACTTTTTTCAAGGATATGTTTATGTGCTTGTTTCCAGTAAAATTTTTTTGATTTTTTCATTTTATGAAATTTTTTTTCCAAAAAATGAGAAAAATCAAAAAAAAATTAATGGTGGAGCAAGCACAAAACAGGGTTATTGGTTATAAATGTCAATCCCATCTATCTTTTTACTTTGACATTTTAGAAAAAAGTGTCTCAAATAAAAGTTCTATGGTTGAAATTATTTTTTTTCAAAAACTCACTTTCGCATATACAGGGTGTTTCAGAAACGCTAATCGTTCTCCAACTTTCTTATTCTAAATGGAATACCCTATATATTATTGAATATTCGGATTCTACATAAAATTCTGGGCAGATTTCATGTGATATACCCTATACCTAACTAAGTTCAACTGTTATGGAAATATTGACAGTTGAAAATTGACTTTTTTG